TTGGATTTTACTTTGAAAACATGAAAAAAGTGTAAAATCATTGTGACAATATCCAGTAGTTTATAAAAGAGGAATTGTCAGCTTGCATTTTCCCCATGAATGATTCAGAACTGACATTTGATTTTCATCCTGTTTGAGTGTCCTACTATACTGTACTTACTTCAGCATATTTCTTTTGCAGAATGTAAACAAAAGGTAATGATAGTTTATATAAGTGTGCTGGCTGTAAATGATGCTAAATATAATATTTTATGCAATTAAGGGCTTATGGAATATATTAAAACTTTTTTACTTTTATGGTAATAAGGAATGTTTGTGCCTCGACTATTGTATTGCTTCTGGATGTGAAGCTGTGTAATTATTTCTGCTATTATATTAAGTGCCATACTTTTAATAAAGCAAATGTACATATCAAATTGTTGTAACTGGTATTTCTGAAAATCAAACTTAGACTCTTCCTTTATAACATTTTGATATATGCACATATGTGTATTTATTGGCAATATTTATGATAGAATTTTTTTATTATATTTTAGACTGGAATTTTAGTACATTCTTTTTTTTATGATTGTGTATTAAGTACTTGATATGTACTGGGTTTATTAGGTGCTAGTTAAGAGTTTTATTTTCCCTTTTTAGGGAATAAGACTAGCTGATAATGTATGTTATGGTGGGTGTGTGTGTGTGTGTGCATGTGCACACACACATACATATATTTGGACGTAGATACATTAAATATTACAGTTCTTCCATAGGTAGAGGCTGAATTAATATTTACCTTGCCTCAGGAGGGGGCTGCATGTCTGGGGCTAGTTTACACTTGAGCCCTAACAGATAGAAAATGTTCATCCTTATACCTGAGAGGTCTTCAAAACTAGGCAGACCAGGGCGAAGAGTTTTCTGTTCTGGTGCTTACCATATTCTGGGTCTTGAACTTTCTGGGATGTCTTAAAAAGTGCTTGCTACTTTGAAACTCAGATTCAGTACTTGAAATATATTTTATTGTTTTTTGATACTAAAATGTACACAGAAAACCTTGTCTGGCCATTGTGGTAGTTGAGCTAGGTGGAGTTCTGTTTTGTTTTGTTTTTTTTTTCATATACTTTAAAAAAAAAAAAAGGTTCATAATACCTTATATACGACCCTTGGATCCAAATGTATTTTAGAATTTGGATATTAGAAAGTTAATACAAGCATTCCCATTTGGGTTGGTAGCACTCTTAAACACATTAATATTTCTGCCATGAAACCTATGAATACGCACCCTAACTTGAGTATGTAGGCCTGACAGATAACCTCACCTGAATTCCAGTCAGATCTTGCCACCAATAGTTTGCAGCAGGCATATTTGGAAAGTGTTCCTATTTTTGAAGCTTCTTAGATTTTGAAATTCAGGATGGGGCATTTTTGATGTGAACTAACTTTTGAATTTTATTATTTCATGCTTTCCCACAATTTCACTTTTCTTATTAAAAGAAACGTGGAAACTGCCTGTGTGTGGAATAGCCACTCCTGAGTAGCACACAGTCTAGCAGGTTCTGTGCTGCCAGATGAGCGGAGGAGGGGGTTGGTGTTGATGGAATCTTTCATAGCATCTGCGAGGAAGCTCGGAGAGCCGTGCAGCCCAGGTAGTTTAAAAAGCAGCAGGGAATGTGACTTCTTGATCTCTGGGTTGTGAGTTTGAACCCCACGCTGGGCATAGAGATTACTTAAAAATGAAATCTTAAAAATAAATAAAAGGAGTGAATGAATGAGTAGCAGTGGGGAGTTGTTTGTGGTGGGGGGGGGCGGTTGGGAGTGCTGAGAGCCCAAGGGATGTTGGCAAAATGTTCAAGTAGTGTTTAATAAAATAAAGAGCAGTTGTTCACGGGTCTGTGTTCGACGCATGGATGTGTGGGATTCTCTTCCCTGGGTGCCAGTCGACGTCTTCCAGACTTTGTATGTTTTGTAGCTCTCGAGGGTAAAATTTGTAGTGCTGGTAGAAAAGAGTAATTAGAGAAGATTTTAATTAGTCCTGTATTCATCAGGGTTCTACCTGAGAAACAGAACCAGTAGTAGATGTCCAGATGTAGATACATGGGGAGATCTATTTCCAGGAAGTGACCAGTGACCGTGGGGGCAGTGGGGGCGTGATCCAGAGTGTGACCCACTTGCCCGCGGCTAAAGCTACTAACTGCCCATGGGATGTCCTCGCGCTTTGGCTTCCAAAGGTTTTTTTCGTTCTCTTGTTTGAACAAATATGGTTTAAAGTAGTGCCATTCATTCATTCATTCACTGACAAACAGCTCCGGAGCACCGCGTGCAGGCGTTCTGTCAGGTGTTGGGGACGGATAGGTGCACACGCCATCCCAGAAGTGAAGCTGCACTGTCTATTCAGCTAAAAATGGATTTCGACCTAGCAGTGCCCTTAGATCCTCTTGTTCTGCCTGCATGTTTACACCCGATACAAAAGTTTATTTGGTTTTGAAACAACAGCGAATCTGAAATGGAATTTAAAAGAGGGCAAACTGCTAAGGTGGAGTAGGAATTGATGTTTTAAATCAGGGAAGGAAGAGGCAAAAAACTAGATAGACACCACCTAACAGCCTTTCTGAACAGCTTCTGCTCTCCTTCACTGACCCCAGAGCAGTGGAGATCGACCTGGTGGCTGGATTGCAGGGGGACGGCCGCCAACATGTAGCTCACTCTTTCCTTTTACTTTGAATTTGGCTGCCTTCAGAACAGGGACATCGGTCCATCCTCTTCCACGTGGCGAGCTGTGGGAAGTCAGGGGCCCACAGCTCTCCCTAAGATGGGAGGGGGTCCCGTAATACCTGGGTCTTAGGGGAGTCCATTTTGCGGCAAATTAAACTCTTTTACTATTAAATCTGACATGTTGATCTTCATCTTTCTGACTTGTACCTACTCAGCTGGTTTGGAAATTGAAAAAGAAACAAGGGCTGTTTTTTGAGGTCACTCAAATATCAACATCGATAGTTTCCAGCACTTAGTATATAGGAGTACTGGTGGACACAGCTCGTTACATATGTTCATAGTCGTGACCTTGGACTTTCAAGGAACATTTAAATTAAATTGCATAATGTGTTTTAAAAGATAGGTTTATGTACTATATTTTATAATACAACCTATCTAAAAGTTTTGATTTTGACTGGGGATAAATTCCTTATCGCTCTGGAGAATGCAGCTATCTGCAACTTCTTTCATGATTCCAAATAACATTTTTTTTTTTAAATATTGTCTTTTTTTTTTTTAAAGATTTTATTTATTTATTTGTCAGAGAGGGAGAGAGAAGAAGCACAGGCAGACAGAATGGCAGGCAGAGGCAGAGGGAGAAGCAGGCTCCCTGATGAGCAAGGAGCCTGATGTGGGACTTGATCCCAGGACGCTGGGATCATGACCTGAGCCGAAGGCAGCCGCTTAACCAACTGAGCCACCCAGGCGTCCCCCAAATAACATCTTTTATTGAAAGGGTTCTATCCTCCATAATTCCTCCTTGATTCTTTTTCTTGACCTTGTGCCAGCCAAGCTTGAAGATATCGGTTTTGCACAAACACAGAGCAAGAGAGGAAATATGGCCAGGCCAAGGCAGCACTACTCACCCGGACAGTAGGAACGCTGTAGCAGGAAAGCAGACGTTAACTGAAGCAATCAGGGCTTTACTAAACGGAAAAGGGGCATACCAATTTATAACCTAAAAATACCCACCCCTTGTGAAACTTTGGGTGCATTATATTTAGAGCTGAATTTGCTCTTAACCACTCAGGACACACCTAATTTTTGTTTTGTAATTTCAAGCGTTTATGCCCAGAAGTTTGGAAATCCAGGATTTGTTCTAAGCAGGCAATGCTGTCAATTGACCTCGTTAAAACAGCATGAGAAATCAAAAGTTCACTTTTCTACTTTCAGTTCTGAGACTGCAGAAAATGAATCTGAACTCGTGTTTACAGTTATAAATCCTATAAATAGAAAGTTGCAATGCTGTTGGTCCTACCACATCTTGTGCTACGTGGAGATCCTAATTATAACAACTGGTGAAACACAAAACCAAACCGAACCAAACCCACCAGTCTTTGTGACGACTGGCATTTTACAAGTGAGTGAGGGGCTTATACAAGGCCAGCCTGTTTTCATAGGTTCACTGTGTCCTATTTGACTTATATAGCAACACATACAACCAGCTGGTATTAAAGCTACTTTCAAAAATGAAGAGACTCTGATTCTATGAAGTAACATCTAGTCTTTACTGTTGTGTAAGAGGTTAACACACAGGCTGGGCAGTTTTGAGTCCCACCACCTATTAGCTGTTTGATCCTAGTGGATTTTGGTTTCTTTACTTGTCGAAAGAATACCACCCCATCTACACAGTTCTCATGCAGGTTGGTGTTTGGATGGAATGAGACAACATACCAGAGATTTTCGACACGAAAACAGCTGTTCATATGTAGGATCACATTTCAGTTTAGTTCCACTAGCTGCTGCATGGCCTTCTGACTTGTCCTAGCTGAACCTTTTTTTAATTACCAAGTAACTTGGGAGAAAATATTACCTCAAGCCACTGTCATGGGGATTAAAGGAAGGAAGACAAACTGAAGTTTATGAAAAATGTAGGTTGATTTTTATTGCTTATGACTATATATATAAAGAAAACATGATTGATTTTATATGATTTATTCCTTTGATTACATATTGAAAATCGGATCAACCCAAGTCCCCTCAAAACCTGACGATTTCTTGTGAAACCTGACACACTTTGCATTAAAATGAGAGAACTTGTGGGTTTGGGTGATACAGTGGGAACAGCACATAGAACTTTGGGGGCATTTTAGTATTGATGAATGTTACTTTTATGGGGAGTTAGATATTCACAGTTGAACAGCATAAATTAATTCCACAGAGCAATTAAATATTTCATTGTAGATTGATTATCCACAAGAAAGAAAAAGTCACAATGGCACTGATGAAAATAAACCTAGTGGAATAAAGACTTTTTATTTTGGCTCTTGCCAGACTTTTGTGTCTAATATGCACATACCACTCTGAGATGATGTATTTCATCAGAACACCATCACTGGTACATTTTTCTGAGTTCCTTTTGAAAGCGTGCCCTCCTACTTTCCCTCCACCATCCACCAGGAAGTCAAGTTGCTTGGTGTGAAGGCTTGAGGTCAGCGTCTATAAAGCTCACTGAAATGAGGCAGGTGCTCCGTGGACAACTCAGGGGCTTTAGAGACAGATGTGACTGTTTTCATGGCACGTGGTACCTGCGCCAGCCACAGACAGGTAAAGCTTCCCATCCGGACACACACAGATTTCATACAGTCTTTGTGAGTTGCTGGCGGCACCCTGAGTCCCCTGAACCAACTTGGGTAAACACACAGTTTCAGCATCAAGCACAAGCTGTTTGGGAGAAAACAAGAGATGAAGTGGTAAAGGAGAATGAACACGATAGCATGAAACTCCTATCTCAAAATGCTCCAAACAGATTAGTTTCTTCTTTGCAAAGAAAATGAAATAAGCACCTGACTTGACTTAAGACATTATCAGGCTCTTTTAAAGCCTATTTCTGTTTTCCATTCAGGCAGGGGCTTAATAACTCCTTCTCCAAACTGAAAAGGAGTCTTTTTTTTTTTTAAACCCATTGTGCTAGTTGAGCTAGGAAGATTTATAATGCTATACTAAAAATACCTTTCAGAATTATCTGAAAAAAAAAAAGTTTTGTTAATTCACATGTCTTGTGACCTATTTTGACTTTATGCTAAATCACCTTCTCTACCCCCGTTAGGATAAAATACAGGCCTCAGAAATAAATTCACCTAAATAATTTTTACCTCCGAATGTTGAAATTTCTGCTGGTTTTGTTTTCCTGTGAGAGGCCATTAACTTTATCCTATTAGCTACAACCATTTCCCTAACTTCTAAAATATTATTTGAAACTCAGCGCCTTCTCATAGATGTGGAAAAAGCAGTAGATACACAGACCAAAGCCAACTAAAATTAAATGAAAGCTATTGGGATTTTTGTTTTGTACCCATGACAATTTAGTTACATTGAAATGTAAACAGATGGCCATGAATTGAGGTTGGGAAATCTTTTTGGGAACAAGGAACCAGGAACCGTCCCACCAATCTTACCCATACCGGGGCATTTACTTATTAGAAGGAATTAAACTATGTCATGGGTGGGCATAATGTTTTTCCTTGCAAACAATGTTGGACACTTCCTCTCATCCATGAACTCTGCTTTTTCATAACCCGATGCTTGCAGTCTGTATGCCCTCTTGGAAGACTGACCACTGCCATGGGCAGCAGTGGGTGGAACAGTATTAAAAGTATTAGAAGCAAAGCTTTACCTTGTGGTCTGGGACACCATCAGAGTAAATGAAATTAAATGTGTATTGTATTTTTTTTTTTTTTAATACAGAACCTACTTATGCTCTTGTCCAGTGCTTTGGGTTCTGTGGCTACCTGGTTTTCATTAATGTGCGTTTAGCTTTTCCTTGTTGGCTTCTCTGCTCTCGTTTCTTATGGTTAACCAGTGAATATGTTTTCTAGTTGTTATTTTTTTTTCTTGCTCTTCTAGCAAACTCTAGTCACTAGCAGTCTACATACCCCTTCCTTGATCACCTGCATTATCTTTATGGGAATATATCCCCTCACTTTGAACTAGCTCCCAGTAATAAGGGACATTAACTTAAGAGTCAGGCTATGTACTAATATAAAAATGGCACCTTATTTGTGGAAATAAGTGAGACTATTTCAAAACTAAAATTAGTATTTTTTTTCAAGGTAATAGGTAATATATTCTAAGTATGAAGTGACATTATAATTTAGTAATGAAATTCCAAAATGCTTGACTTCCATTTTTGCATTTATCTGCTCTTGGCACCATAAATTCTTAAATTACAACTTGAAAGGGCTTCACTGGATGTCTTTTACATTCTACTAGCAGCCTGCCAATGGACAGGTCCTGTCCACACTCATGAGCTGCCTCTCATGGCCTCCATTTGCTGCCTCAACCACACCTTCCTCTTAGTATCAAATTAATATAATAATTTCAAAATGTTGCCACCCATATTACCACATTGCTTTCTCACTGCCCTGTGACATAGTTAAGCAAATCTTATTTTTCCTACTGACAAATGAGAAGATAGGTCCAGGTCTGGAGAGGCCTGTTAATGTTCCTGAACTCAGGTAAGGAATCGATCTAGTACTAGAGCAATCAGTGTGGAGTAGAGAGGGCTTTACTGCCTCATTATGGCTTTGGCTTGTACCAGCGAGGTTTTATTTCTGGACTTGAAGTTCCAGACTTTACCCTTATTGTGGCTGACTTTTAAAGCTCTAATTTTTCATATTTAATTTTTATTTAAACATAATTTGATGTGAGCAAGCATAGCCATGAAAGGCAACAACGGGTCATGGTTGTCATTTACAGCTAACGCCTAGTGACCCTGCCCCATTGAGAGTAGTTGGATCAGTAGGTATGGAGGAATTGATAGTTTCTGTCTGCTCTGAAAGTCATCAGGACATACCACAGGAGCTTCATACACCAAACTCACCATTCCATCACTACTTTGAAAAATGATATCCATTTGAGAAAGAGCCTCAATTTTCCCAGCATGAGCTTTAATATGAACACCCTTTGGGGCATCCATGCTTAGACTGCGTGTGGGTGATTCTAATCTGAAATGAGGGAAAGAAACAACAAAAAAATAGTATTAAAAAAAAAAGCCACCCAAGGATTCCCTCATTGAATGGCTTTGCATACAAAATACAATTAATAAAGTATATAGCATCATGATGTCTTTCTTGAATGCTAATCTAGTATACATTCTTTACCAAGAAATACAGAAATAATGTGCAGTAAAGAAATTAACTTCCCATCAATATGAGTCTACAACATTACTATCCTCTAAAAACATATAAAAACATTACACAGCTGTACCCCCCACATGGTAGTTTCAGATGGCAGGGTTAAGCACTCTGCATATCACACCAGAAGAAAATGCTATTTCTGAATAACTTTGTAGAACTATCTTTTTACTGAAAACACAAACATGTCTGGGAAAAAGACAAACTTATGGGTAAGACGTTCATTGTCTACCTCTTCATAAAGTGGAATGTAAGATTAGTCTTTAGGTTTTGTTTGCATTTATTTATTATTATTATTTTTTTTAAATTTAGGAGGATTAGAGGGCAGATGTGAAGATTTCTTTTGGGAAAATACTGAACTGATACGGTTGGGATACAGAATGGAGACTGCCTCAGCTGGCTTTGTTTTTGCATAATTCATCAGAATCTCCTTGTGACTAAATCACACTTAAAGAACCAGGAGTATATGAGTCAGAGAAATTCCATTCGGTTCTGCCTAAAAAATACTAAATTTCCACCAGGTGGCACGACATGATCACTTGAAAGATTTTTTAGAGCCTCAAACCCAACCCGACCCAACTCAACCCAACCCAACCCAACCCAACAACCTAACCTGAAAGGCTGATTTGATTGAAATGTTTAAAGATCAATGAGAAGTGGAACAGGATACAAAACAGTCTGTAATCCTCTCACAGCAGAGTAAGATTAGAGTAGGCAGTGGTTAGAGAGAGAAAGGGGAGTGGCTCCAGAGGAAAGAGGTACCTTGGGTCATTAATTTGCATTTGAACTGATTGAATATTTATTCTGTAAATGTTTAGCTCAGAGGAATTGCTGCCTTTAATTGGCGAATTTTTGTCTACCACTTTTTGTCACAGAAAACAGTTTCATTTTTTTATGTACATCTCAATATGTAAAATTTGATCTGTTACACATTTTGAAATTTATGTTTACTTTGAGTACAAGGAAACAGAGACATATTTATAGAATTTACTGGTCAAATTATGTTAAGCTTAGGTTATGGGGAAATGCTTGAATACATCTAGATGATTTGGTCTGCTGACTGCCTGCCCATTTTGCTATTTGATGTCTGTTAGTTGTCTATATTTTTCCTGCCTGGATTGATAGAAAAAAGGGGGAGGAGATGGGGAAGAAAAGGAGGGGAGGAAGACATGTAGCAACTTACCGAGGTCTGGTCCATTTCAGGCAATCCATTTGTGATTTTAAAGATCTTAGTGAAGGTGAGTTTGTATCAAAGATTAGTCACTGAACAACAAAATGACTTCAATAGGGCCAACTACTAGTTTTTAATCACATTATAATATGGTGCTTCTGGAATAGCAAATTCCCCTTTTCATTGTTTCTAGCCTTAAAGATGAAATATCTCAATTCAGCACAACTTGGGACACATTCTACCAAAAAAGGCTGTGATTAGAATGTTCTGAAGTATACATCTCCATGAACACACTGAAGAGCAGTCAGACATAAAACAACTCAGTTTTTTCTCTTTTGTTATATTTACTTTGCTACTTAGATATCCAACCCTTTCATCAAATATGTGAATATATAAATGTTTACTCATCACTTATATGAAGAACAAAAAATTTTGAACAGTGACCCAGAAATATACCAAATAAATAAGCTGTGTGTGTATACACATGCACACACGGTATAATATACCTTCGCCCATATTCACATTTGAATTTAGAGAATATAACTAGTCAAGCATGTATGACTGTAATATTTATTGCTCATGTCAAGTTAGTGTCATTCAAACAAAGGGGAAAAATTACTGAAATTTATAGATAATGTTTTGATTTTAAGCTCTTTCAGGCTTACATTAAGCCTAAATTTTGTAAATAGGATAAGAGACCAGGAAGCATAAATACAAATTGACAAAAAAAGCTGGTCTAGAGGTAGCACTGGCCAAATCATGCAAGGGCTAGATTATGTCCACTGATAGGCAATGCTAACACTAAATTATGTTAACTGTTTTGGTCTTTGATCTAAAAGTGTGGGGAATAATGTATTTAGTCATTTAACCCTTATTTATTAGGCCCCTATTATGTGCTCTTCTAGATTTATAGAAAAACATTAGCAAACAAGGCAGACCAGCTTTCTGCCCTTAGGAATCTAACATTCAAGCGGCTTAAAGGACATAAGCAGAGGAATGACAAGATTACCTTTTGGCTTTAAAAATATCACTCTATAAAGACTGGTCACAACAGATGAACAGAAGCAGAGTTCTGCCCTCAGCCCTCAATTACATACAAATGCTGGATAAAATACAATCAAAAACATTAAAACACATACTAGGCATAAACAACAGCAACAACAACAACAACAAATCCAGAAAAACAAAGAGCATTTTCATAGTGCCAGAACAGAAGAACTCGAAACCAGAGTGATGAATGGGAGTTGAAATGCTGGAACCCTTGGAGGCAATGGGCAGATAAACGCCTTGTGGGCTGGTATTTTAAATTTCTACAGGGAAGGAGTTGTGGCCGATTGTGGGGGGCAAGGGAACAGTGTTTGGAAATGGGCTCTGGGCATACAGATGGGTGTTGAAACAGCATGATAAGAACCCTAAAGCAGGCTGCTCATTCTGGAATGCGAGCAGAAAGTCTTAAATCACGCATTACTGTAGAACCCAATCCACACACTATTCAGGCCTCCTATAAGCCCAACCTGAGAAATAGCCCTGAAGGCTGGCTTCAGAACAGTGCCCCCTGCAGGGCCCTGGCAGAAGTGAATGTGAAACTGACTTTAACGCAAAAGTTAAAGAGTCTCCATGACAACTTCTCCCAGATGAAGAGCCAAAGAGGATGAGCTCCCAGACAGAATTTTCAAACCACATGGGAGAATCTGCCAACACGAGGAACTGGAAATAATAGAGCAGTCAGAAAGGTGCTCACACTAAGTTTAGAGAATCCAAAGTGATAAATTAACACTCATAGAACAAGACCAGAATAGAAAAAGAAAGATTTAAAAGTCAGGTAAATAGAAATTTATGAAATTAAAAAAAAAAAAAATAAAGTCTTCTGGTAGAGTGAATAGTAGACATGTCATATAGCAAAAAGAGAACAGGACACCGTAATGTAGATTTGGTATTTTGGTGAGAAAAGAAGAAATGTAAAAATTGAAATACATGTTTAATGTTTTTAAAGGCATAAAATAAAGCACAGAATTTCAAAGGAAACTAATGACTTTTAAATACAAATGTAAAAATTACCTAAATGGGTGATACAGCAATTTAAGAGCTTATTTAGTAATTAAATAAGATCTGGCCAGGGGGCTTACAAATAATGTAATTTCAAAGCAGTGAAGAACAGATATAATGTGTTTTGAGATACTTGCTTTAACCTTTATGTGATATTAAAGTATCTCTGCCTTCTACAGATGAGAAAGTCAAAGAAAGTACTAATACTATTGTGGCTTGTTGAAGGAATGCTAAATTTCAATCAGAGATCAGTGAAAATGAAGGATTTCTTTTTCACATTCAAAATCATTAACCCACTAACTTCTTTTCTCGGGCACCCAGCGGATCCACAGACCACAGGTGAAGAATGCCGATACTCTAGAGAATGAGGAGACACAGATGTGAAGAGGTAATGTTTAATCATTTTCCAGAACTGAAAAATAACATGAGTTCCTAAAACTGAATAGGTACACCAATGCCCAAGTACGAATAAAGACATATCCAGCACCCAAATGCTTTCTGGTTAAGACTGCAGAACAGTAAGATTATGAGAAAGTCTTAAAAGTATTCAAAATGAAAACAAATTGCTTACCTACCAAAGACCCAAAAGTAATGAATAATATCTTAATAATGCTGATATAAAATTGTCAGTCTAGAAATATATCCCAACTTAGTCATCATTCAACTATGAAAGGACTAGACATTTCAGACCCAGAAGGAAAAGTTTCTGTCAGTGCAGATCATCACTGAAGAAAATACTTATAGAAACTAAAACCAGAAGAAATGAGTATTTTGGTAGAAGCAGTGATGGACATTAGAAAAAGAATCAACACAGTATGTGAGAAAAGCTAAATCTGTATTGCCTAAAAGACATAATCAGAGAGATGAATAAAAGCAAAGTTGAAAAAACACGCAAAGTGAAGTTTGGGCGGGAATAACTTTCTAAATTCTTTGCTATACTTTGAGAAGAGAATGATAATGACAAATTTAATTAGAAAGTATTAATTTATCTCCATGCATATAAAATATAAAGAGTAATCATTACAAGAATGTAACCGTAACCACTAAAGGGAAATATGGCAGGGAGAATAAGGAGAAATTTAATAATCCAACCAAAGGTCAGAAACAACAACGACTACAAAAAAAAAAAAAAGAAAGAAAAGAAAAGAAAAAGAAAAAGCACAGTATATAAAACATAATACCATAGAAATATGTCAAATAAATCAGTGATCTTAATAAATATAAATAGTTAAATTCACCTATTAAAAGTTAGAAACTTAGGGGGGATTAAATCGCAAATCCAGAAATTTAACCCCTAGCAAAACAATTGAAACATAATGATAAACCTCACATGAGAAAGCAAATCTGGTTGGATTAAAGACCTAAATATGAAAAATGAAAGTGTTTTTGAAAGAGTTCCCTCCCTTCACTAATGCTCAAGCAGTAGTGTCCAATAAACCCAAGTCCCCAAGTCCCTTATTATCCCTAAGTAATAATAAAAATTACTTTTATTATTATGAAAATAATCAATTATTTTCATTATTCTGTTATTGGATGAAACTTTTTTTTTAGATTTTATTTTTTAAGTAATCTCTACACCCAATGTGAGGATTGA